CTAGATATTAAGAGGCCTGAAACCTTCTACTTTAGTATGCTTTCTGGCTACCATGAGTTGTTATGTACTTCATGACAGTTCATGGCTATCCTACTTGCAAGGGATATCATGGAGAAAGAGGCCCTTAAGGATGAGTGAAACAGTTGAAGATAGCATCAAGATGAGAATTAAGTTGCTTCAGTAGATGGCCAACATCACAGCCCCAGACAGGAAGACATCTTGAAGCCTTCAGCCTAAGTCAACCTGTCTCAAGTGGCAAATGAAACAGAAATGAGTTGTCACCACTCCCCCCCCGACCCAATTTTTAGCCCACAGAATCATAAACAAACAAATAAGCACCTTGAGGCGACTTGTCATGCTGCAACAGATGACTGTGCCAAAAAAAAAAAAAAAAAAAAAAGGGTACATATTTGGAAAGGGCACTATTGTATTAATAACAGAAACCTAAAAAAATACAATATTGGCTTTTGACTCACAGATGTAGACAAAAGCTGATAGGGCAACAAAGGGACTTGAAACTAAAAGAGCAGTTTAAAAAATTGCTATAGGAGGCTTGAAGAAGGGTGACTCATATATAGGCAGAACAATTAGCATACCTGAAGTCACACAAAGTCACATGAAGTAACTGGAAAGATTAAAAATATACCTAGTGAAACTGTAGATTAAGCCACGAAGATTTCCAGGCAAGGTATTCAAGGTGCAAATGGCTTCTTTATAGCCGAGTATGAGAAGGTTTAAGATGGAAAAGCTAAAGAGTTACAAGAACATTTTTTTTAATGCAGCTGCTCCTTGAACATCATGGATTTAAACTACACAGGTCCACATATACATGGATTTTTTTTTCAGTAAATATGTACAATACTGTAAATGTGTTTTCTCTTTTATATGATTTCTTTAGGTAACATTTTCTTTTCTCTAGTTTACTTAATGTAAGAGTACAGTACGGAGTACATCTAACAGGCAAAATAAGTGTTTATCAACTGTTAATGCCAGTAATATTCAACCAGTGTGCTGCAAGAATTTTTTAAATATGCAAGACCTGACTATTTATTTAGTCAGGGGTACTGACCTCTTTTCCCTTAGATTGTCAAGACAAGAGTCAACACAACAAAAGCTGTCCAGTGCAAATGAATCAAAATTATACCTATGTTTTCAATCAGTTTGGCAAAAAAGATGTATTTTTGGTGTGCTGCAGAATTTTAGTGACTATTTTATGTGTGTCATCAAATGAAAAAAGGTTGAAAATCATTGGTTTATTTTATTGGTAAGGCTTGTGATCAACAGTGGCTACGAGTTATTAAGTTTGGGGAGCACCAAAAGTTATGTGAGGATTTTTCTATTGCACAGGGGTGGGTGTCCCCAAATCCCAGGTTGTTATCTCTGACCTGGAGGTGCATGATTGGAAAATAACTTTTTCAAAACTAGCCTTCACACATAGCAAAATACTGTCAAAGAAACAACATGAAGACAAAGATCAAATCCAGAGTGCTGACAATAAAACTTGGGCTCATGTTAAGTCCTCAAAAAGCTTTAAGACAGTGCTGGCATTCTATCTCAGATGGGCAAATGGGCTTCTAAGAAACTTAGAGGGCCCTAACTTGGGATCCAAAGTAGAGAGAGTCCTGTCTCAGAAAGAAATGTGAATATGACTTCTGTCTAATACAGCAATTTTCAACCTTTTTCATCTCATGGCACATATAAACTAATTACTAAAATTCTGCAGCACACCTAAAAACATATTTTTTGCTGATCTGACAAAAAATGGGTACAATTTTTTAAGGATTTTATTTATTCATTTTTAGAGAGAGGGGAAAGGAGGGAAAAAGAGAGGGAGAGAAACATCAATCACACCCTGACTGGGGACCGAACCCACAACCCAAGCATGTGTGTACTGACCGGGAACTGAACTGGTGACTGATCCTTCACTTTGCAGGATGACGATGAGCAACCAACTGAACCATACTGGGCAGGGCAAAATAAGTATAATTTTGATTCATTCACACACAGCTATTGTGTTGGCTGTTGTCATTTTTTTATGTGATAATCTAAGGAAAAAGAAGTCAGTGCCCTTGATTAAATAGTCAGGTATTGCATGTTTTAAAAACTTGGGACACACCAGTTGAAAACTGCTGATCTAACAGAATGTGCACTTATAATCTGATATACAGAAAAACCACAAAGTGTTCGATGGAGTTCTATTAGTTTGGTGGGGGAGGGGGGCACTGTTTAAAATGAAAAGAGGCCTTTAAGCTCTTAAACTGACGCATATATCATGCAGTCTGAAACTGCTATTCAGGTGTAAATAAGACCCATTTCAGGGAGTAGAGTCAGAGCCCAAAGGACCCAGCCACAAGCTGAGAAAAACAATGAATTGTAAAGCTACTACCAGAAGATAGAAGTAAACCATAATCAAGGATATTCCCTGTTCCCTGGTTAGATTTCAGAATTGCTTTGGACCAAACACTGTTACATACCTTCCATTCTTTCACTCTCCAATAGGGGTATCTACTGTGGTCACCCGCCCTTGTCTCAAAATTATATATTGAGTGTAAGGGGAGCAGGCCGTACCTTAGTTAACAGGTATCCAAATCAAGAGGAGCTGTACCCAAGGAATCCTATCCATATCTCAATCTAATGCAGATCATAAGATAACGGACTTTGAACTTGAGATCATTATTGCATGAGATTTCTAAGCATCTTAGGAATGTGTACTGCATGCTGGAGAGATGTGAATTGTCCACCAGGGGAAGAGCTGAAAGTCCATCTGCAAAGATGGCTGCCAACGACTCCTGCTATTTCTCTACACACACATGCTACTCCACCCCTGCCCCATCAAGAAGTAGAATCTGTTTCTCCTTCACTTAAACCTTGGCTGACACTGTGTTCTGCTTTGAAAAACAGAATGCAGTAAAAACAATGCCACGTAGTTTCAGTCTAGGCCTTTAATAGCTCAAGAAAACTGTTTTATTCTCTTGCTACCCTGAATCACCAAGTAAGGAAATTGACACTATCTTTCTAGAGAAAGACCAAGAAGAGAAAAGAGCCAGATTTGAAGAACAATCCACCTAAAGAACTAATGAGGTGTCTCAACTAAAAGCTGCACTAAGGCTATCTTGGATTTTCTACCCAAGCCACCTCAGTCAACATCTTGTGGCAAGGCATTCCCTGAAAAGACTCCTGACCCCAAAATTGTGAACAACAAAATAGTTGTGATTTTAAGCCCCTAGGTTTTGCAGCAATTTGTTACTCAATAACAGACAGATGATACAGGTAGTGAGTGGAGGAAAAACTACAAAGGAAAGTATTGGGTACTTTGTAAGAGTCAAGATTAGGGATCTTAATGTAATCTGCAAGACAGGAAAGGTTTGCTTAAAAAGTGATATACTTAACAGTGGTTATTTAACACTATTTAATAGAGGGGAAATTATCAATAGGCATTTTTTGTTGGTTTTAAGCTTCTATTTTTCTAAATTTTTTACAATGCATATGTTTTACTCTTGAAATAGTAACAAAAATGTTATTTTGTTAAAACTTCCTAAAGGATTTTCATGGCAGCTTACTCGTTCTATTGTACTGAAACCTATTAAGTCTAAAATATTTATTTTCTAATGACAAAATATGCAAACATTTCAGCAAATAACAAAAGTTTTCCATTATCCTATGTAGCCAAAGAATGAAATGTTTCAATTTAACAATCCAAGAAATAAACATCCCATATTGCTTTACAATTTCTGAAGAATTAGAATATATTAAAATGCAATTAACTTAAAATGATACTGCTTATAATTTAGTATCACACTGATTCTTAGAAACTTCTCCAGATTTAGATAGTTCCTCACAGTTATCATTGTGAACAGATATCAATAACATGAAACTGAGAGGAGTAATACTCTGATAACAGAATTAAGAGAGGAAATGATGCAAAAAGACTGCAATAATGTACTAAAACCAACAAGTCAAAATTACAGAGAAGCATATGTGTAGGGTTAAAAAGAAATCAATCACAAATGTACAAGAGGATAAAATAACCTGGCTTAACAACATGAAGAAGCCTTAGGTTTCAGCTGACCACAGTACATTTGCCGCAAGAACACAAAAAAAGGTTAATGTAATCTCAAACAAATACTGACAGAGAACCTAAAATGCACCACATACTTTACTAATATTAAGAGAATATTAAGAGAATACAGTGATGAGAGCCACAGAAGGAATAATCTCATCACATTTAAAACTAGTCACACTACATATGGAACATTAAGTCCATAGAAAGGAAATGTTTGAAAAAATGAGAGAAATGTGACCTATGAACAGAAGACTTTCTAATTTGAATATTGACTTAAAAGAAAGCTCTTAAAACAACTATTTCATTGTACCAAAATAAATGAATAACTACTATGTGACTGGCATTGTGCTAAGCACTGAGCAGTAAGTGGAGAAAACAGATATTGTGCCTGTCCTCCCTCTGCTTACAGTCTACTGAGCACCCTATCATGGGAAGACCTTGAGCAGATACCAAACAATAACCTCTGAAGCATATCATGAAAGAGATTCATGTACTTTGTGTAAAGCTGAAATAAATGGCCTCCAATATTGTTCCCAAATCTAAAATTTTACTAACTTATAGGACCACACCATGAAAAAATATCTTATTTTAAGATAAACAAATGTCTAATGAGTAAAATAGCAGGCAATCCGACACACACACTCGAGATTTTTTTATGTTTACCCCTAATAAAACAACCTGTTCAAGTCGCATGTTCACCTTTCATAGACAAACTATTTAAAACCAACTTCAATCCACATTAAGAAAATCCAACCTCAAATTTTTATTTCATTTCAAATAAAAAATATTTCCAGAACTGAGAAAATAAATTTGTATTGTTTTAAGTCAAAAAAATGTTTAATCTCCTTTACCCTAATGATTATCTTACCCTAATTAAAATAATTACAAAAATTAGTATTTATCATTTCTCTGAGAATTCTTATATTAATCAATATACCTTTCCATGGCTTTAGCTGTATAAGGCAAATGCATTTCAATACTGTGTTCATCTTCATCTGTCTGCAGAGACATGCGTTCAAACATTCCTGTCTTCCATAGTTCTCCGTAAACTAAAGAAATTTCAAAATATGGTAAAACAAACATATTAATGTATATCCTTATCCTGTGAAACTCCACCCAGTAACACAAAACTGCATGTTTGGCAAAAGACAGAAGCACCACATAATATTATCCTTCATTTTTTTCCTCCACTTTTATTTTTACAAAAGAAAAAAAAAACTAGCTTTTTATATACCAGACAAAACAATAATACATGTAAATAATTTACTCAAGATTTTTATATTATATGGTTACATAGGTAATAATTTAAATTTTTCATCAGCTCCCTTTATTGTATCAAAAATCACCTCCAGGTCTAAGCCCTTCCTTAACTTTAGCCAGCACACACTGACAAGAGCATAGTTGGTTAGAATTCCTACTGAAATAAGGGGAAACCACTGGCCTGCATACTCATGAAGTTAATAATACAGTTTTTGATTTGTTTTGTCTGTTAACAAAATGTATAAGATTATTATTTCACAGCTCAGGTTCTGGCTACAGTAAGAATAGAAAATGTCCACTAAGAATGCTACTTCCCTCAAAAAACAAAAAAACAAAAAACAAAAAACAAAAAAAAACATGTGGGATAGACCAGAACATAAATTCATGACAGTACCATGCCATAAATAACGTTAAAATGATCTGGTGCCCTGGCTGGTGTAGCTCAGTGGATTGAGCGCGGACTGGGAACTAAAGTGTCCCAGGTTCGATTCCCAGCCAGGATACATTCCTGGGTTGCAGGTCATAACCCCCAGCAACTGCACATTGATGTTTCTCCCTCTCTCTCTCTCTCTCTCTCTCTCTCTCTCTCTCTCTCTCTCTCTCTCTCTCTCTCTCTCTCTCCCCCCTCCCTCCCCTTAAAAATGGATGAATAAAATCTTATGATCTGGTAATTCAGACCCTTGTGATAAATTACACTTCAAATTGAATACTGTACAGCAAGAAAATGATGAAATTTAATAAGTAAAAAAAGTGATATGAGTATTTCTGTCTTACCATAGACTGGACAAACATTCTTATAACTACAGCAAAGAAATGAGGTCACCAATTTCCAAAAAACAGACTACAAATGGTGCTGTGACTTTTTTCTACAAAAATATACCTGATTAAAAAAATCTCCCATTCCTTCTCTGGCAGGCTATCCAATAAAGTTTGTTCCCCAAAACCAACTGGGGAAAAGGCTAGTAAGATTCCAGCTCTATTAATAATATATATTGTAATAAATTGCTAATGCTCCATGATATGAAAAATCCCAAATTATAAAAATTTAGGCCTAAAAAAATATAGAAAAATGAGGTGACATTTCCTGTGTAAATGGCTTCTTTCACTCTACAGAAGTGTATTTAGCAAAATTTCTTGGAACAATAAGCATTCAACATACTTAAAATACAAATTAATGAACTGAAAGGATATACACCAAATCCGTAAAGGTGGTTATTGATGGGGATGTATACTGAGTTCAGACGAGGGGTAAATTGTAAATCAATTATGGATGATGAGTACATGAGTATCTGTAACACTGTTTGCTGTACTACTCTGTGGTTTTTAAATTATGCTCCACTATTCCTCCAAAAATACTCTTCAAAGTCAAAAAATTTTACCTTACACTTCAATATATAAAATGATACCACATTAAATTAAAAAATGTGATTTCTGAAAGCTTATGGAAAAAATAAATCAAAATAACATTTAAAAAATAAATACATTTTATGTAGCACCTTTCTTTCAAGAGTCTCCTAACTACAGTCTCATTTTTCCCCATAAAAATCACCTGTGAGGAAGTCAAGGTTGTTCACCATTATCTACTTACAGCAAGGAAAGTGCTACACATAGAGGTTGACTAACATGCCCAGAATCTTGCATCACATTGTAACGGGCACTAATTTCGTGTCTCATAGCACAGTGAGTGCACAGTTCTTTCCTGAGTATACATGCAGCCACTACCGTATGGAGACTAGCTGATCTGCGGCTGGCAGGAAAACTGTGGTTGTCTTTTAGGCATACAAAAGATTTCCTTTCTTTTTATTTTTTTAAAAATTCCTATTGGTATTCTATTACAGTAGAAACATTTTATTTCTTAAAACAGACATTACTTTTGATACTCATAAATCTAATTTTTTTAATTAACTTGTAATTCCTATTTAAAACCGTTGGCTGTTTAAAAGTTGTATGATTTCTAGCCTTGACTGGTGTGGCTCAGTTGGTTGGGCTTTGTCCCATAAGGCGAACTGTCACCAGTTTGATTCCCAGTCAGGGCACATGCCTAGGTTGCAGCCAGTCATGTGTGATAGGCAACCAATGGATGTTCGTCTCATACATGGATGTTTCTCTCCCTTTCTTTCTCCCTTCCTGTCCCTCTCTCTAAAAATAAATAACATCTTTAAAAAATAAACATGAAATAAAAGCTGTACAATTTCTACATACTTACTCTTTTGGTCAATACGAAGGTCATACAGAGGTGTCCTATATATGTCCACACTGGAAAGTGCACATCGAGAAAGGGGCACATGATGAGAAGGCCCAAGGATGAAAATTCTCCGGCTAGGAGATACACAACAAAAAACAAGAACAATTGCACTTCTACATAAACCTTATGAAATCAAAGAAAAAATAAGTAAATTTTTAAAATTACATGTAAAACTTTCTATTGATTGATTTCATTGCCTACTGTTATGTTATGTGCTAACTGCATTCCCCTAAAATTCATATGTTTAAGTCTCACCCACCCCCATGCCTCAGAATGTAACCATATTTGAAGATAAGGTCTTTCAAGAGGTGATGAAGTAAAAAAGAGGCCATAAGGGTAAGCCTGGTGTCGTGTAAGAAGAGGGAGAGACAAGGGGTGCACATAAGCAGAGAGGTGACCACATGAAAGGGCATCGAGAGGACGCCCATCTGCAAGCCAAGGAGACAGGCGTCAGGAGAAACCAACCCTGCCAGCAGCTTAGTCTCGACCTTCCAGACTGCAGAACTGTGAGAAAATAAATTTCTGTTGTTTCACCTGCCCCGTTTGTGGTATTTTGTTACGGCAGCCCTAGCAAACCACTAATATACTACTAGTGATTTTCTCCTCAGTCAATTAAGTTCATTTCTTTATCTCTTTTTGTTGGAAGGCCTTTAAAAGAACCATGTTCAACACCTAGAAATACCAGTTACTAATTATCTACAGTAAACCAACTTGCTATGCTTAAAATTGTCTCTGTATTCACAATGGCTGGAGAGTTTTCAATTAACTATAGTAATTAAATTTTAAACATTTCAGCTATTAAATAAAATCTCAAAATTCTAACATATTCTAAACTTGCCTTCTAAGGTCTACCACAACTTTAATAAAAATCCATGCAAAGTATCACTACAAAGAAGTATTCTGATAAAGCTACTTTAACAGAGGAAAAAAGGAATCTTGAGAATTCTGTGTAATAAGCTTTCTCTGTTCCCATTCAAATAGAAGTCATTCTCAAAAACAAAGAGAGAGACTTGATTATGTTATTTTATACCATAGGTTAAAGAAAAGAACTGGGCTAAACAGCAACTTAAATCATTACAATCGTTTTAACTTGACATCAAGAATAAAATTAGCCCTGGCTAGTGTGGCTCAGTAGATTTGAGCATCGGTCTGTGAACCAAAAGGTCACTGGTTCGATTCCCGGTCAGGGCACATGCCTGGGCTACAGGCCAGGTCCCCAGTTGGGGGTGTGCAAAAGGCAACCAGTTGATGTTTCTCTCCCTCCTTTTCTCCTTCCCTCCCCTATCTTTAAAAATAAATAATTAAAATCTTTTTTTAAAAAAAGATTAAAATCAACTTTCATTTTATCTCAAACATCCCTACAATCTAAATTCTAAAACTGTCCATATTCTCTGTTCTCCCAGATGCACAGGAACAAAATTTACACATATCACACTCACACACAAATTTACAGACCCAAAATACCAAAATCCTTGAGAGAGAAGGGAACATACAATTGGCTATATACCTAGAAAATTAAGGACTACTCATTGTTCAATTAATGGACAAGACTGATACATGAGCTAGTTCCTTCATATCAAAAATTTGCAGTCCAAAGAATGTGTGCTTTAACAATATATTTATTTTGATAGAATTCTATAACAGCCAAAAAAATTAACCTATTGTCTGTTGTATGTTACTTGCTCTTTGGAGGGAAGAAGTGGAGGATAAGAAGGATGGACAAGGAAAAGGAAAAAGAAATTCTCAGTTCAGAGTACCAAAACCTCCTCAAGACGTCACACATGACAAACATATAAGACTGCGCTATTTCTAGTCAGAAACATAATCTCTTTTCCTGTCCCACCCCCACTCATAACACTCACTTCTTCTCATCACCATTATGACTCAATAACCATTTCAGAAAGGAAAGATCAAACCTAAATTCCTAAATGAACAAGAGACACCACTATGTTCTCCTATCTTAACAGCACATAAACATCAACACGGTTTTTTAAATTAACATCTATTGTGGGATATAGATAAAGTGACTTGCCTAAGGACACATATTTATATGAACAAGAATCAAGTATGAAAAAGGGCATTTTTATGTTTGAGGAGTATATTTGTATGAAAAGAGAGAGGAGGGGGATAGAATATTTAACACCAGAATATTCCTAGGAAAGCCAGGGTACTTAAAATATGAATAGGCTTTTAAAGTATCAATCTAAACTCAAGGTATAGATACATTCCATAGGTAAGTGTAACAAGGTTCTCACAGTGGCTGAAAGATGAATACTAATCCAGAAATAAAGACCCAAGGTCAGCTTCAAAAGCCTAACTGCCTCCTCTGATACTGAATATTTACCGTGCTTGCTTTTTGACAAACCCAGGCTAGCTGAAAAGATGAAGACTGCTGAGGAAAAGAGCTTCCTGCAGTCTGAATTATCCAACTGATAATTCACCCAATGGAATCTTTCCAGGTTGCAGAAATTCACCCAAAGGCAATACAGTGAAGTTCCACATCTGGTTAAGAGATATGAAAAAGAGGCTTAGGTGCCATCAACAAAAAACCCTTAAAAGTGATATACCCAAAAACAAACCAAAAAAAGGCTAGGTATCATTGAAGAAGAAAAAAGTGTATAATATACCAGTAGTAATCACAAAATGGGTCTCTGTTAGCCCTATGCTAACAAAGAATATTAACACTGTAAATAAAAGATAATGCATTTTTTTTTTGCTAGATTGCTAGATCCATAAACACCAAAGCCATACAAGTATTTTGGAGACAAATAAGTAGTAAGCACATTAAATAAAAGCCATGCCACTTTCTCTCCATTTAATAAATTGCAAGTTGCTTTGTCCTTAAAGAAATTACTTTTAGCCCTGGCTCATGTGACTCAGTAGATTGAGTGCTAGCCTGCAAACCAAAGGATCGCTGGTTCAATTCCCAGTCAGGGCACATGTATGGGTTGTGGGCCAGGTCCCCAGCAGGGGCACGTGAGAGGCAACCGCACGCTGATGTTTCTCTCCTCTTTCTCTCTCCCTTACCCTCTAAAAATAAAGAAATAAACTTTTTAAAAATGACTTTTAAATATTAACATGTCATCCCTGTTGTCACACATGTAAAAGAAGCTTTAATATGAAAAAATGGGGGAAAATCAGCAGGCAGTCTCTTAGAAATAAATGTAGTTCATATATAATACCTCTAGAGAATTCATATTTGTGTGTTTACTTACTATGAGTGTCATCTGTGCACCCAACATGTAAGTTACCTGAGTGTCTGCCCCCATAAATACTCAACTACTTATTCTAAATGATGTAACACAAGTAATTTTTAAAAGTGTTTCATGGCAAGTGTAGACATTTTAACTAAAGCATAAAAATGTTAAATAAAATTCCTTCCAGGGGGGATGGAAATGGGAGGGAAGTGGAAAGGGCTCGGGGAGCTGGGCTGAGCTGGGCTGGGCTGGGCTGGGGGTAAAAGACAGAAAACTGTACTTGAACAACAATTAAAATTTAAAAAAAAAAGAAAACAAAAAAGATTCCTTCCTTTTTACCCTCTTTTTTGCCATGCAAGACTTTCCGGAAGATATGAATTAAGTTACTATCTAAGTATATCCTAAGTTTATTTTTAATTACAGTTTTAGTAATAGGAAAAGACTTTGCAACTATAAATATGAGAAAGAACTTAACTAAATGTATCCCTTTTAAAATTTCTTAAACAGCCAGCCAGAGTGCTATTTTTGAAACACAAATTGGATCCCATCACTCTCCTGTTTAAAATGTCTTTCAATGTCTTTCCACGGTAAGAGGATAAAATCCAAATTCTTAAAACGGGTTCTAAAGTCTCAAATAAACTGGCCCCGTTTTGTAGTACTCTTCCCCTTAAACACAAAACTTCCTGTACACCGGTCTTTTTGCAGTTTCTTGATAACACAGACAACTTTGCCTACTTCAAAGCCTCCACACATTCCTTTTGCTTGGCTTAAAAATCATCCTCAGAGATGCCCTCCCCAAGACCTTACCCACAGACCTCACCACGGTCTAAAGCCAACCACCCTGTATCACAGCAGTTCTCAAAGTGTGAACTGTGAATCCAAGGACCTTTCAAGGTGTTCACAAAATCAAAGCTATTTTCATAACAATAAAGAAGTTACGTGCTTTTTTTCACTGTGATGACATCTGCACTTACAATACAAAGGTGAGGCTGGGTAAACCGCTAGCCCATTAGAACTACGATCAAGGTAATGGAACCAAAAAGTATTCTTCACCTTCACCCACACCAAGTTTTTTTTTTAAGGCCACTTTCTCTTGAATACCATTTTATAAAATTATTTTGTATGACAAAATATGCATTCAATCTTAGGTAATAAATGCATAAAACACTTCTGCACATAGGAGTATGTCTCATAGGAAAGCATTAATATGATTATGAGTTGTGAGTGAAACGAGACCTTTTTTCATGGAACACAATTTTGATGTCAAAAACTAACTGTAGACAAAGTACGGGTATCCAATTTAGGTACCGTATTTTGCCATTTATAATTTGCACTTTTTGCCCAAATTCTTGAGGGATAAATAAGGATTCGCATTATAGATAGGTAGTGCTAATTTGTTACAGGCACATAAAATTTCTTGTGCCTTGTATCTGTTCTTGTGTTTTGTTAAGTATTTGTTACATAAAATTTCTTATACCATAATATATTCAAAAATAAATGCCAAAATTCCTTTATAATATAAAAACCAAGTATCTAAATATAAATAAATAAATAACTGAATTAAAAAATTAAAAGGAAAGATTTATTCATAAACATTTGGTCCAAAAACTGGGGTACACATATACACAGAGTGCATTATGCATGGCAAAATCCAGGGGTTGGCAGAAATTTTCTAAGAAGATGAACAAAATGAGCCTGCCACTTCAAAGAAAACATTTAATATATTTATTGCCAATGATAAAGTTGAAGCTTTTAAGTGAAAACTAGACTTCTGTAAAACTTCTATTCCTATGACATTGACAGTTTCCCAATTCTTAAAGATTTTTCCAATGACACTGGTGGTGATATTAACACATGATTTTCTGACACTGTATATCAACTTTTAAAAGATTTACATAATTCAATAAACAAATATTTTCTAAATGTTCTATGCCAGATGCTAAAACAATCATGCAAAGTTAGAAGATCCCTTCAAAGGCCAAGAAGAGTACAAAAGATGACCCTGGATGACATGTAGAAAACAGATTCATGTGAAAGGTAAGAATGAAAGCCAATGGTATAGAATTTAACCTTCTCTCTTGGACTGTTCTTTATTATTTCTCTTTACTTCTCATAGTTCCCAAAAGGATGCTCTTTGCTTTATCAAAAGACTCTGAAGACAATGCAAATCTCAGAGCGGGGCACTTTAAAGAGAATACAAATATGACTGTGATTTACTGTTTTTAACATTCAGACCTTCAAATTTATTTATTCTGTATTCTATTATTATATACTATTTGCCAAAAATAAGCTGACTACATCTTTCATCATTTGCCTCTCTTTTTACTAATCTCCTTTGTCATATTCTTAGTCCTTGGATCTCTTCCCTTTTTATTCTTTATCTTTTTCCTTCGAGTCTCATTTTCCATCGACTTAATTAACATGAGCTGTTCACATCTACCAATATTGGCTCTATATCTCTCTATGAATTCTAAAGCCAAATGTGATTTGGAGGTACCCTTCCAGCACATATAGTCATCAATAAAGATTCTGTCAAATAAAAAGAAGATTTGGAAAAAGCTGCTACATGTACTAACCTTGATGACAGCTGGTTTATAGGTCCAAGGTCAAAAAAAGGAAATTTCTGAAAGTATTTCCAATCTAATTTATTTGTTCTTATTCATGAAATAATTTAGTTAAAATTGTATATTAAACATGTATCAAGATTTATTAAAGACACCCCTCAAACATCAAAAATGGGGTACGGCTAACCAAATCCTCATCAATTTGCTAACATTATTATTTTATTTACTATTTAAAACTTTCTACAAATAATTCTCAAAAAAGATATGGTACAATGTCCAGAGCACACTACATAGAAACAAAAGAGAGCAGTTTATCTGTTTTTAAAAAATAGAACAAATTGCTCAAAGGAAAAAGAGTAGGCTGTGGGTAAGATTTTCTTTTTCAACTTATGGCTGCTCTGACTTACTTCTTTTGAATGTGTATGCTTCATCTCTACTAGTACAGATGCACTAGAATCACTAGAACTATTACTAACAATCAATACTAAACAGAATTAAGGTCATTGATTTTATCCATTCATAGTGTGTATACAACTAACAATACAATCTGGACCCTTACCCTGGTTCACATGTAGTAAATCAGCTAAATAAAATGCTGGTGAGAAAATTAAGTAATTTGGCTGGCTAGTTCCAGCAGAAATTTTTGAAAGTTCACGTTTCTTATTTTAGTGAGTAATATACTAAAGTTTTTAAAAGTTCACAAGTTTCTCATTTGAGATAGTAGTATACGACTCAGTCTCAATTTGCCAGAAAGGTTTTTTAAAAAGATAATTTCAGAGCTGTCGTTAAATTATTAAACATTTATATGCTTCGAACACCATGAGATACACTGTCAGATTCTAAAATAATTCAAGTAACTTATCCTGTCAATGAAAAATTATTCTTCTTTCATTAGCCACACTTAACAAGAACGATGAAGAATTTTAAATTAGAAAGTGACTAAAACAGAAAATGCTCACCTCCAGATTTTCAAAGAAAAATTTTAAACCAAAACATTTTAACTGTCAATGTTCCTGGACCCAATTCTAATATGGGGGGTAGGTTCTCCCCATCTCCAACAAGCAATTCTTAGACTCTGCCTGGAAATAGCATTAGATTCCATAGGCATGGGTTTAGTCCGACAAGACTACTCCCTGAACCCCCACTTCAGATGCCAGTTGGAAGCCCAGGTTGTAACATGCACTTCTGACTGACGGGCTATAAATCAGAAGTTCCCACGATCCTTTCTTTGGGTTCAATTAATTTGCTAGAACGGCTCACAGAACTCAGAGAAACATTTTACTTACAAAATCACTGGTTTATTATAAAGGGATATAACTCAGGAAAAACCAGTTAGAAGAGATGCATAGGGCAAGCCATGGGGAAAGGGATGGTAACTTCCACTCCCTCTCTCCAGGGTGCCACTCTCCCTTAGATCAACCCAGAAGTTCTCTGAAGCTTTCCTTTTAGGTTTGTGTGGCAGCTTCATTACTTGGTCATGACTGATTCAACCTCCAGGCCCTCCTTATTCCCCAGAGGTCAGGAGTAGACTGAGAAGTTCCCACCCTCTAATCACATGATTGGTACTCCTGGCAACCAGCCCCTATCCTTAGGTGGGATGCAAAAGTCACCTCCTTATACCTCTCTATAGCAAGAGGAAGTTCCAAGGGTTTGAGGGCCTGTGAGTTAGGAACTGTGGGCCAATACAAATATACATGAGAAATACATTTTGGTCACCTGAATGACCAAATTTTTATTTCTTATAAATCACACTATCACATTAACATTGTAACATTTCCAGAACCAAACATTTTATGAATCGAAGGGAAAGTAAAAGCTAAATTTCCAGAAGTAGACATTTTACCATCCTAAGGGAATGAAAAAATAGTACTTAACTTTCTATAACCTATAAAAGATATCAAATTTATAAAAGGTCAAATTCCTAATGAATTAGTATATGGTAACAATAAGTATGCAAAACAAATTGGTTCAGTGACAAGGCAGTTGTAATCCCCAACATTACTCTGTAACAAAATGGTCTCTAACTAGATTACTTACGTAATAGATGGATCCACTTGTTTGTAAGCATGAGCAGCACAAGACCCACAGTAAGTATATCCTGCATGGCTACAAAACAAAATATTTTTAAACTTAAGCATCAAATTCAGAAATCAAGATATTCTGAAAAAAAAAAAAACTTTGAAAGAAATATAATAACTAAGCTAAACATAACAATTGACTGTATAGATTAAAAAGCAATGTATTAATAATGCAACTCCTAGACAATAATAATAACAACACATAATTGTTCTGTGTTCCAATTTTAAATTTTAAAACATGTTTTGCAATTTTTTTGGTCTCAAGAAAAGTTAGATTTGGTGATATCCAAGGCTTACTTGAAGTTTCTAATGGAATACTAATGATATATGGATTTTTAACATTCCCCTTCAACAGCATTAACAGACTATTACATAACAATGATAAAACTAAGAACAAGTCAAATGAGACCAAAAGAAACACTCTACAACTAATAACTCTCTTCCCTCTGTGTGTTTAGTCGTAAGAGAATTTACTTGGCCTTCTGTATGTTATTTTCTCTCTTAACTACACATCCCTTCCATCCTACACATCTCAGCATTAAGAGAGGGTCTTTTATCACCTGTAAAATAACATTTCTGGAACTTATTTTTGTTTCTTGATTCATTCAAGTTACATGAGGCTAGAAACATTTTCCTTAGTGCTTTCTTATTAATATGTGGCCAGTGGTATACTGGTAAATGTTTAACAATTGGCTTCTGCAGAAAAAAAAAATGTATACATATACATATGTAAATAACCTTATAAAATTTTACTTCATTAGAAAACTATATACCACACAATTTACAAATAATGAAAAAATATATACTCTTTCTTTATTGCAAATTCCACATAGCCAACTGACTGTCACAGAATGCTTTCACTAATTTTAGCTAAACTCTTATTCATAGCCAAGGGATGGCTACAACCCACAAGAGTGAAACAATGAAGACATTCAAAAACTCGAATGATTTCTTTACTGATTAGATAATAGTTTTCAAATACTAGAAAGAATATTTCCTTTCTCACTTCTTTGTGCTATTAAGAATGTAAAGGCTACAGACACAACAATTTTAAGTTTAATTTGCATTATTAACCTTTCCCCATTACTTTCTTAAAATAGAAAATCAATAAAAACTAAAGCCCTAATTTGTAGCAATCTGCCAATTAATGTGGAATAAATCATTCCCCAACCATGACTAATTTCAAGATGCCCAGTAACCTGAAAAGACAAAACACAGTATCGGAGAAAATATTTACAAAGGACATCTGATAAAAGATTTCTATCTGAATACATCAAAAATGTCAAAACTAACAACACAATACATAAAAATTGGTAACTGTTTTGGGAAGACAGAGTTCTGAAGATTGGCTGTAAAACAATGTGAGTGTACTTATCACTGTACTCAACTGTTCATGCAAATGATTAAAATTTTTAATATGGTAAATTTTGTTGAGTATACTTTACCACAATTTAAGAAAATTTAATAGCAGAGTATATAAACAGATACTTCATCAAAGAATACACTGAGGTGGCAAATTAAGCACATAAAAGAATGCTCATCTCGGACTTCCGGCCAAGATGGAGGCATAGGTAGACACACTGTGCCTCCTTGCACAACCAAAAGAAGGACAACAATTTAAAAACAAAAACCAACCAGAACTGACAGAAAACTGAACCGAATGGAAGTCCAACAACCAAGGAGTTAAAGAAGACACATTCATCTAGACGGGCAGGAGGGGCAGAGACAGGCAGCCAGGTGGAGAAGACTAATGGCAAGGCGGCTGGCGGACCCAGCAGGGCGCGCAAGGCTGCAGCTGGCCGGCAAGGCAGCAGCGGGTAGACCTGGCCAGGCAGCAGACTGCAGACCATGCAGTCCCACATTCGCACACAGATAAACTGGGAGAAACAACTAGGGAGCGAAACAGACTGCACAACCCAGGGTTCCTCCACGGGGAAATAAAGCCTCAAAACACTGATTGAAAACACCTGTGGGGGTTGAGGCAGCAGCAGGAAAAAACTCCCAGCCTCACAGGAGAGTTCATTGGAGAGACCCACAGGGCCCTAGAATGTACTCAAGCCCACCCACCCAGGAATCAGCACCAGAAGAACCCAATTTGCTTGTGGGAAGTGGGGGTAGTGACTAAAATTCGGCAGAGCGCAGAGCAAGCACCATTATTCTCTCTCAGACCCCTTCCCCACATATAGCGTCATAACACAGGATGTGGGTTACACTGCCAGGGTGAATACCTAAGGCCCCGCCCCTCACTACGAAATGGCCCAAATGAAAAAACAGATTAAAGCTCCAAACAAATACAACTAAGTGATAAAGAGATAGCCAACCAATCAGATGCACAGTTCAAAGCACTGGTGATCAGGATGCTCACAGAATTAGTTGAATTTGGTCGCAAATTAGATGAAAAAATGAAGGCTACGCTAAGTGAAATAAAGGAAAATGTACAGGGAACCAATAGTGATGGGCAGAAAACTGGGACTCAACTCAATGGAGTGGACCAGAAGGAAGAAAGAAACATTCAACCAGAAAAGAATGAAGAAATAAGAATTCAAAAACATGAGGAGAGGCTTAAGAACCTCCAGGACATCTTGAAATGTTCCAACATCCGAATTATAGGGGTACCAGAAGGAGAAGAGGAAGAGCAACAAATGGAAAAGTTATCTGAACAAATAATAAAGGAGAACTTCCCCATTCTGGCAAAGGAAACAGACTTCCAGGAAGTCCAGGAAGCTCAGAGAGTCCCAAAGAAATTGGACCCAAGAAGGAACACACCAAGGCACATCATAATTACATTAGCCAAGGTAAAAATGAAGGAGAGAATCCTAGAAGCAGCAAGAGATAAGGGGACAGTAACCTACAAAGGAGTTCCCATCAGACTGTCAGCTAATTTCTCAAAAGACACCTTACAGGCAAGAAGGGATTGGAAAGAAGTATTCCAAGTCATGAAAGGCAAGAATCTACATCCACAATTGCTCTATCCAGCAAAGCTCTCATTTAGAATGGAAGGGCAGATAAAATGCTTCTCAGATAAAGTCAAGTTAAAGGAGTTCATCATCACCAAGCCCTTATTTTATGAAATGTTAAAGGGACTTCTCTAAGAAAAGAAGATAAAGAAAAAACATGTATAGTGAAAGGACAGCAAACTCACAATTATAACAACCACACCTAAAGCAAAACCAAAAGAAACTAAGCAAACAAGTAGAACAGGAACAGAACCACAGAAATGGAGATCACATGGAGGGTTAACAACAGGAGACTGTGAGGAGGAGTGAGGGGGTGAAGGTACAGAGAATAAGTAGCATAGATGGTAGGTAGAAAATAGAAAGAGGGAGGGTAAGAATAGTATGGGAAATGTAGAAGCCAAAGAACTTATATGTACAACCCATGGATATGAAGTAAAAGGGGGGAATGTGGGTGGGAGGGGGTGTGCAGGGGGGAGGGGAGTGAAGGGGGGGAAATGGGACAACTGTAATAGCATAATCAATAAAATATATTAAAAAAAGAGAATGCTCACCACCATTTAGTCATCAAGGAAAGGCAAATTAAAACTAAAATGAGAGCCCTGGCCAAGTAGGTCAGTTCATTGGCGCATCATCCCAATACTCCAAGGTTGCAGGTTCGATTCCCAGTCAGAGCACATACAAAAATCAACCAATGAATGTATAAATAAGTAGAACAACAAAAACTAATCTTTCTCTCTCCAATAAAAATTTTAATTTGAAAACTAAAATGAGCTACCACTAAATACTCACTAGAATAGCTAAAATTAAAGAGTGACCATATCAAGTATAGCAAGGATGTAGAACTGAAACTCAGTTTGTACTTGTAGAAATGGAAAACAGGGTGGCAATTGCTTAAACAGTTAAACATACTCCTGCCCTGTGATCCAAGCCATTTTACTCCTCAAGAAAAAAAAAAAAAAAAAAAAAAAGGCAATGCGTCCACATCACAAAGATTTGTACACAATCTTTGTCCCTGTTTTATTTGCAATAGCCCAAAACTGGAAACAACTGAATGACCCTCAAAAGGCGAATGGATAAACTATCTGCAGTATATCCATACAAAAGAATACTCTTTAGCAATAGAAAGGAATGAATGACTGACACACTCAAAATAATTATACTTAAAATGGCAAAACTCAATAATGAAATACTCTGAGAGAAGCCAGACAAAAAATGTTCACACTACATGATGCCATTTAAATAACTCTAGAAAAGAAAAACTAATCTATAGTAATAGAAAATATATCAGTGAACGTGAAACGAGAATTACAACAGGGCACAAGAAAAATTGGGAATGGTGAGTATGTTCATTATCGTAACTGTGGTGATAGTTTCACCGGTGTATACATATTTCAAATTTACCAATTGTACACTTTACATATATGCACCTGTATGTTAATCATACCACATATGAAGCTCCATTTTTAAAATAGACCCCTCATCTGAACTAGGTTAAGTTGTGAATGTAGAAAGAGATTCACATGAGTCAACCACAGCAGTACAGGATAGCGATGTGCTTAATTGGGAATTCAGTTATATAGGACATTAAGCACACTGAAATCACCAAGGGCTTTATTGGTCAGATTAATGGTAATCACTCTATCCAAGAGAGCCTATTAAGTTGCTTGATATAACAATACTTTCACAACACAGATCTAATCTTAGCCAAATGGAAATGTATGTTGTTCTATGGCTCAGCAAATACAGTTTTGCTGTCATCCTGCACTGATCTTGACACTCTAGCTGAATCAGGTACTCTATTTTATTTGACTATGTCCCCAGTCTTCCAGGGCTTAAGACCTCCATACTGACTTTTTCAGATCCCTAATACCTGTTCCTGATTTGAACATTACTGGCTCCCCCTTCTCAATTCAAAAATACGCTATCTCGGTGAGAACACCGACTGGTGCAGTCACTGTGGAAAACAGTACGGAATTTCCTCAAAAAACTAAAGCTGGAACTGCCTTCTGATCCAGCAATACCACTGCTGGGATTATACTCAAAAGAACCTATGCTCCCTAATGTTCATAGC